TTAGTAATTCATTCATTTAGCATTTTTTTTTAATTCAACAGCTACAACATGACAGGTACTATTCTGAAATTGCTAAATGCTAAAGCCACAGAATTTAGCAAAACAAAGTCCCTAGTATTTTTTTTTCAAAGTCCCTAGTATTATGGAGCTTGTATTCTAGCAGAATTTAGAGAGAGAAAACAAATAGCTATCTATAAAATGGGAAGTGCTATGAAAAAAATAAAGTAAAAAAGGTAGAAGGCATCATGGTGGGGAGGCGGCTCTTATACATTAGTGGGGTTAAAGAAAGTCTCTCAGGTGAGATAGCCTCTGAGAAAGACTTGCAGTGTGGAGTGTGCTGAATATAACTATGGAGAACAAGGAGCAGAGAAGGACAGAGGGAAGTTGAGAGGCTGGAGCAATAGTGGGGTCTAGCTCATGGCCTTGTGAGGACATCGGAGTTTGATGGGAAGCCATTGGAAGGTTTTGGTCACACATGTAATGGAACCTGATTGATTGGTCATTGTAAAAAATAATTCTGGTTGCTATGCAGAGAAGAAATGGTAGCAGGGTCTGAGACATAACAGGGAGAACAATTAGGAGGCTATTGAAATAGGCCAGACAAGAGTTGCTAGTGGCTTAGACTAGAATGGTGTCATTGGAAATGGGAAGAAGAGATAAAAATTGAGATACACATAAATGTAAACTTGATTCAGTTTAGTATTCAATTGGATGAGGGTGAGAGAGAAAGAGGAGTTAAAGTAAATAAGATTTTTAGCCCAAGGAACTATGTCAACCGGAGTTGTCATTAAGATGGAAAAGATGGGCTTGCCTGGCTAGCTCAGTCAGAAGGGTATGCAACTCTCGATCTCGGGGTCATGAATCTGAGCCCTCTGTTGTGTGTAGAGATTATTTGATAAATGTTTTTTTTAAAAGATGGAAAAGCTGAGGAGGGTTTGCTCTAAGCAGTGAGCATAGATAGAGAGTTATCAAAGATTCTGAGTTGAGTATAAGGTTCTTTTGTTCATTTACTGTTTATTAATCTCCTACTGTGTGGCAGCACCGTTCTAGACTCTTGGGGTAAATGAGTGGGGGAAAATGACAGTCTCTGCCCCTTAGAAGGTTAAATGGGGTATCCCTGGGTGGCTCTGTGGTTTAGCGCCTGCCTTCGGCCCAGGGCGTGATCCTGGAGTCCTGGGATCGAGTCCCACATCAGGCTCCCTGCTTGGAGCCTGCTTCTTCCTCTGCCTGTGTCTCTGCCTCTCTCTCTCTCTCTCTCTCTCTCTCTCTCTCTCATGAATAAATAAATAAAATCTTTTTTAAAAAAGAAGTTTAAATGGAGGAGTACAATGGATAATATATAACTATAACAAACATATAAGTAAACTTCCTGTTACTGTCTCAATTCACCTTATGGGCATTCAAATAATCTGCTACTAAAGGCATCGGACCACAGCCTTTTCAGTTGTCTCAGATGATACTTTCCAATTTGCATCTTTTTCCTCAGGCCTGCTCAGATGAAATAGACTCTTTGTCATACAGTTCACACAATGCTATCTCTAGACAGGGTTTATATCTGGATTCTCTAGGATGAAATACACCTGTGCATACTTATTTAGACTTAGTGTTGCCTAGGTATTTATGGAAGTCTGGTGGTCTAGTTTAGGGGCACCAGCTCCTCTCTGCTTAAGTTGTTTCTAGTGGATAATTTATTAAAGAATCATCTTATTGTAATTTTTCAAACTCATATTTGTATTTCACTTCCCATACTCAAAACCTGTCTAGCTTCTTGCTCACCTTGTTACACATTGGTGCAGTCTTTTCCAGTGCATTCCATATCACTATAAGTCCAAGAGACAGACCATGAAAAGAGTGTTCTGTGCTCAAAGAAGAAAAGCCACCTTCTATATCCCCCACTTGGATACTCACATTGTACATGACTATTGTTAAGGCTCTGAGAAGTGTCACAGTAAGAAACTTGTTTAAAACTGTTCACTCAGCATGTCCAAGACTTACTTTACCATAATATAGAAATTTGCCAACATTCCACAGAACTACTGTTTCAGAGTTCACACTTAGGGAAAATTCTGGGTGGACCAACAGCATCATTGGCAAGAAATCCAGATAAATGGGGTCCAGTGTAGATGACGGCTTTGTGTGAACTTAAGCAAAGCAGTTAACCTCTCTGTTCCTTAGTTTTCTCATTTGTAAAATGGGGATAATAACAGACTACCTTAAGGTTTCTTGAGGCTCCTCTCAGTGTTTCTAAATGTGTAAAACATGAATAAAAAAGCACTTTATACAAGTTTAAATAATATAGTTATAAATCTTATTTTGTCTCTTTAATCAAGCATTTAATTTCCATCTATTTTATTTTATTTTATTTTTATTTTATTTTATTTTTTCCTTATTCATGAAAGACACACACACAGAGAGGCTGAGACATAGGCAGAGGGAGAAGCAGGCTCCTCGCAGGAAGCCTGATGCAGGACTTGATCCCAGGATCCCGGGATCATGACCTGAGCCAAAGGCAGATGCCCAGGCACCCCTAATTTCCATCTCATGTGTAAAGTAATATTATTAACATGCATAGTAATTTATTGCAAAGTTAACTTTCCTCTCACCAATGGTTTAGTTTGTACTTGTTATCCACTTGTTCAGTGAAAATGATCTCCTCCTATAGGAAGTCACCCTCAGTTTGGTCTTCTCTCTTCCCTCTTACTTTTTTGGTGACTCATTAAGAAAGTCTGCCTCTTCGCTGGTACATAGCTCTGCAAGAGTAAGACCATGTTCTCAGTGCCTGGCACGTAGAAGAAGTTCAGTTAATATTGAGCTGAATCCTAAATTGTTCAATTTCTATGAGTTACATCATCCTGTTTTCAATTTTGGTACCCACAAAATTGGGGGAAAGGAGCTCTTGTTCCTTCATCTTGAGTATGTTTATCATCAGGGTTCCCACAACGTAATCCTTCACTGACTTTGCTTTGGTTCTAGTTCTGAGAACAAATTGTCCTGTGGTTCAGGGCACTGCCTGCTTTCCTACTGGGATTTGGGCTGTTTCTTCCCTTTTATTCCTTCCTTGTCTCCTAGTGAAGTCAATCACTAATTGATAGAAGTAGGGACAACTCCAAGGCTTCCTTATTTCTTCTTTTCTTTCTCCTTTCTCCTCATTTTGAACATCTTTATTTTGACTTCATTTCATATACTCTATACTTGTCATAACATTTCTGTTTGAAGACACTTTCAGGAGACCAAGTCTATAGCCCTGTCATTTACCTGTGGGTCTTAAGAAAATTCTGACTGCCTGGCTGAGACCACGCCCCTCTTCATCCCCCTATTCTCTCCTTTATTCCTTCAACTAATTGTCTTGCTTTCATTGCTTGTAAGTTCTCTATATCACCATTTCTTCATATAGGCACCAACCTATGGGAAACTTGAGAGAAAACATTCAGAGTATAAAGGAGAACAAAGAGCATGTATCATAGCTAATGACTAATCAGCAACTTATATCTGCTGCTCACAACAATGCAGTCACACAGGACCCTGCCTTTAGAATGCTTAGTTGGCATAATGCTCTGCTATCCCAGGCTTAAAATTCTTCATGATTTTTGAACAGAGGGCCCGACGTTTTTACTTTGTACTCAAATTGTGTAGCTGGTCCTGAAGGAAATGCCTGTGCTAGAAACTGGGGGAGGGGCCCAGAGAGATAGAATAGCTGTGTCCAACCCCTGTGCAAATCTGACCCTGAGTGCAGGTGAGAGGAAGGGCAGGGCAGGTGGAATTGTCCTAGACTGACTACAAAACAGCTGAAGAAATGCTCAGTTAAGTCATCACAGGGTGGGGTCCTTACCAAATTGGTAAAATCAGAGGATCTCTGGGTCTCCCAGGAACCTGGCTGCCTCGGCCTTGCTGCTGGCTAGGAGCAGCTGTGGGAAGCATGATCTCTGCACAAACCAAGGGAAGTTCAGAGCAACAGCTAGGGCCCTAGGTCCCTTATAGTACCCGTAGTTGGAGATCTTCAAGACAAAATCTCAGGACTCCACATAGCATTCCCTGTACCCCCCAACCTCTTCCTGAGGCCTCTGGGAGATTCAAAATTAACATCAGTATCTGTGCTATTTTCCTATTGCTGCCCTAACAAACTGCTACAAACTTGGTGGTTTAAAACAACACAGCTGTTTTTTCCTATAGTTCTTAGGTCAGAAATTCAACATGGGTCTCATTGAGCCAAACTCAAGGTGTCGGCAAGGTGGTCTTTTTTACTGGTAGCTCTAGGAAATAATGTTTCCTTTTCTTTTTTTTACCTTCTGGAGGCCTCCTGCATTCCTTGGTTCATGGCCTCATTCCTGTATCTTCAAAGCAACGTTGCATCTCTCTGGGCCTTTATTCTGTAGTCAGGACTTCTCTGACCACAGCTGGGAAGCATTCTCTGATTTTAAGAATTCATGTGATTAGATAGGCCTACCTGGATGATCCAGGATACTATCCCCACCTCAAGGTCATTCATTTAATTATATCTGCAAAAATTGCTTTTTTCATGTAAAGAAATACATTCAGATTTCAGGGGTTAGGATGGGGTCTCTTGGAAAGCTATTATTTTGCCTACCACACTATTTTTCACTTTAAACTAGTTCTTCTTCACAAATCCCTCTCTCTTTTTACAAGGGGTGTCTTGATTTTTGTGGCCTGTTAGGTGGTGAAAAATGTGTCATTCTGTGGCCTATAATAGTGAACATAAATGATATTGATGGCAAATGAATGAATGAATGCAGTGTTCTGTTTTACCTCAAACTAATGGTGAAACTCTTAAAAGAAAAATTACAGGGGCTGAGCGCGGAGCCGCGGCGCTCCCTCCTCCGCGGGGCCGAGCGGGCGCAGCGGGCGCAGCGGGCACAGCGCACCCGGCCGCCGCGGGGAGCGGGGGATGGGGGGGGATGCGGCTGCCTCCCCGGGGCCGCGTGTAGAGAGGGCGGGTCCCCGGCCTCGGGAGCGCGGCGGTGGAGGGGACAGAGGCGGCGACCATGGCGACCCCCGGCAACCTGGGGTCCTCCGTCTTGGCGAGCAAGACCAAGACCAAGAAGAAGCACTTCGTAGCGCAGAAAGTGAAGCTCTTTCGGGCCAGCGATCCCCTGCTCAGCGTCCTGATGTGGGGGGTGAACCGCTCCATCGTTGAACTGAGCCACGTTCAAATCCCTGGTATGTTGATGCCAGATGACTTCGGAGCCTATTCAAAGATAAAGGTGGACAATCACCTTTTTAACAAAGAAAGCATGCCAAGCCACTTCAAGTTTAAGGAATACTGCCCGATGGTTTTCCGTAACCTGCGGGAAAGGTTTGGCCTCGATGATCAGGATTTCCGGAATCCCTTGACCAGGAGCGAACCCCTTCCCAACGACTCCCAGGCACGCAGCGGGGCTCGATTCCACACACACCGCCTACGACAAAAGACACATCATCAAGACCATCACGAGTGAAGATGTGGCCGAAACGCACAGCATCCTGAAGAAATACCACCGGTACGTCGTAGAATGTCACGGGATCACGCTTATTCCCCAGTTCTTGGGCATGTACCGGCTTAATGTTGATGGAGTTGAAATATACGTGATTGTTACGAGAAAGGTGTCCAGCCACCGTTTATCTGTATATAGGAAATACGACTTAAAGGGCTCTAGGGCGGCTCGCGAAGCCAGCGACAAGGAAAAGGCCAAAGAACTACCGACTTTAAAGGATAATGATTTCATTAATGAGGGTCAAAAGATTTATATTGTTGACAACAACAAAAAGGTGTTCCTGGAAAAACTGAAGAAAGATGTCGAGTTTCTCGCCCAGTTCAAGCTCATGGACTACAGCCTACTGGTGGGAATCCACGATGTGGAGAGAGCCCAACGGGAGGAGGTGGAGTGTGAAGAGAATGACGGGGAAGAGGGGGGTGAGAGCGATGGCACCCACCCCGTCGGGACCCCTCCAGACAGTCCCGGGAACACGCTGAACAGCTCCCCGCCCTTGGCTCCTGGGGAGTTTGATCCGAACATTGACGTTTATGGAATTAAATGCCATGAAAACTCGCCCAGGAAAAAGAAGTGTACTTTATGGCCATTATTGACATTTTGACTCATTATGATGCAAAAAAGAAAGCAGCCCACGCGGCAAAAACCGTTAAGCGTGGTGCTGGTGCAGAGATCTCGACCGTGAACCCAGAACAGTATCCAAAGTGCTTTTTGGACTTTATTGGCCACATCTTTTTTTTTAGATTTTTTTATTTATTTATGATAGTCACAGAGAGAGAGAGAGAGAGAGAGAGAGAGAGAGAGAGAGAGAGGCAGAAACATAGGCAGAGGGAGAAGCAGGCTCCAGGCACCGGGAGCCCGACGTGGGATTCGATCCCGGGTCTCCAGGATCGCGCCCTGGGCCAAAGGCAGGCGCCAAACCGCTGCGCCACCCAGGGATCCCCTATTGGCCACATCTTGACGTAACCTCCCACGTGGCCTTGGACGGACGTGAGCCCGGGAAGGAGAGAGAGGTGGCTTCGGTGTAGGAAACATGAAAACCAAACTCAGTGAAGCACACCTCCTCGTTTACATCTTCAGGCCAAGACGACTGATTTGGAGGCTACTCGCTTTAACAGCTACCTGATATTTCCCAGCATCGTTCTAGCTATTTCTGACACATGTGTGTGTGCCGTGCACGCGCGTATGCGTGTGTATTAAAAATTAATTAATGAAAGCCGATCAGCTTCAGTCAGAGTGCGTTTGGGCCACAAGCCTCTGATTCCTGCTGTGGATGGATGGACGGATGGATGAGCACATGCGGGGGGAGGGGGTGAAGGAAATGCATGTCAGACCAACCATGTTGGCGTCACGCAATAAACTGTGGCTCAGTTTATTTTCTGGAGTCGAAAGATGTGATAGTATTCATAATAATAATGAAGATAATAATGATGATAATAATGATGGTGATTAAAAGAAAAAAACTTTAAAAAAATTACAGATTAACTGGTGCATGTGTTTGTAAATTTTCATTCTAAAGCAGCAGTTCTCAACCTTGAACTTATATCAGAATCACCCAAGGGGTGTTGTAAAGTCCTGATACCCAGGCACACGACATACAAATTAAGTCATAATTCCTGGGGCCATAAATGGCCTTAAAAAGCTTCCGGGTAATTCCAGTGTGTAATCAGGGTTATGATGTTTTACAAACCTTAAATTGTGTAATATATTCTTAACTTGGGGAATGACAAATGAAGAGTTTTTAACATTAGACTTTTCCATAGTAGGTGGTCTTTGTATTGAATAACTTTGACTTGTAAGATCTGAAGAGATTGATGAAAAGCAGATAGTTTCATTTATCGCAGGCAGCAATGACCTGTAGTCAAAGCACCAATAATTTATTTTCATTTTTAAAATAATAGAGGATAAATGATATTGTTCCCGTTCTTTCTGCTGGAGCCTTTATGATCAGAAAAACCTGAGAAGCATTAATATTATAGGCCTTAGAACCAAAATAACTAACAAACCAATCAGGTATTAAAAATGCCCAAAATAGGGGGCGCCTGGGTGGCTCAGCCATTTAAGCATCTGACTTCACCTCAGGTCGTGATCTCAGGGTCCTGGGATTGAGCTTCATGTCAGGCTCCCTGTTCAGCGAGGTGTCTGCTTTTCCCTCTCACTTTGCCCCTCCCCCTGCTTGTTCTCTCTCTCAAATAAATAAATAAAATCTTTTAAAAATGCACAAAATAGAAAAAAAACTCACAAATGGAAAACTTTGAATAAATAATATATATATATATATATAATACACAATTATAATTAAGAAACTGGGATATTTACCTTTTCTAGTGTTAAATTTGTATTATCCTAAAATCTGCCAGCCAATATTACTTAAAACTGGATAAAATAGCACCACTTCAACACACTGGGAGGAATAATGGGACAATATAAAACTAATCTGGCCAGAAGATTCTGGCCAGACATGCAAGGGTCTCATTTCAGAACAACTTGAGGAGCCATTTGACCCAGCATCAGGGAAAACAGAAAGAGAACTTCAGTCATTTGCTTATTTAACTATTTTTAAAGACATAATTAGTTCTATTGAATTATTGCAGTGGAGGAAGGATGGAAATATGAGAACTAGTGCAAAGTAGGAGGGGAAATAAAGGCAGTGGGAACTCAACTTGAAAATTTCAAAAGCTAAATAATGTTGAAAACAAGGACCATATTGGTTTAACGTCTTGTTTCCTTTTGTTTATTACTGGGCAGTAGAAGGTTTGTGGGCCTGTGTATGGAAGCAGTATTGGTAGGTTCAATGTACCCACATTTCACTGATCTTGGTTCTGCTGAGGGCAGTTCTAAACAAATGGTTGATAGAGTGGTCTTTATGTTTGTTCTCAGATGATGGATTCACCTGATAGCCCAGGCTCCCACTCTGCCTATTGTAAAATGAATTTAGTCCCTCTTTGGAGTATATAAGCTGCTTACAGAGAGAGAAAAGAGCAGGGATGAGTCAAACTGCAGACAGGATATTGAGACTTATTTGTCCTCTCCAGTGACTGGTCACATGAAGAAACAAAATCCATTTTCCAGCCATTTTATTCAATACACTTCACAGACTTTCAAGTTCCTAAAAAAGACCAGTGAAAGGCAAATGTCTGATTATTCTCCCCATTCTGGCAAAGAAATTGGTTTCTCTCCTTTTGTTTCTCTACATTTTATTCTTGCCCTCCTCTCCTGAAGGGATCAAACAGCACAGAATCTTTGGGACCACCTTTAAGATATAATGCATTTTTTTTAAAGACTCCTTTCCAAACTGGGAAGCAGATAACAACATGGTTTTGAAATGACATCTTCCCCACTCCCAATGCCTAGCCACTCAGGCTTAATTAACTAATCAGTCATCACTCAGGGTATACCTGAAATAAATCAGTTATTAGAAACTGAAGTGCTCTTTTTTGGGGGGTTGTTTGGTTTTTGTAGATAACTTGTTATCTTTGAGGTTACTAATATTGTGCATGGTTCATTCATCATGTGTAAGCAAAAAAAAAAAAGAAAGAAAAAATAAGAAAGGAAGGAAAGAAAGAAGAAAAAAAGAAAGAAAGAAAAGAAAAGCTCTTCTCTTTACCAAAACAATGCATAATTCCTTCCAGTAAATGGAATATTGTCCTCATAGACTGATTTTGATGTTGTTGCTGTTCTCATTGAGTGTAGTCATTTTCTGGGCTTATGATAAACTTAGGTGAAAGATTGTCAAGTGCCGCATTTGGGAGATTGATGAGGTGTTCCTTTTCCTCCTTATAAATTCACCCAGAAGTGCACCAATTTTCAGGGGGCCTTTTTTCCATGCAGAGGACTGAGTTAGTCCCACATTAGTTAACATTTAAGATAATAATAACGATAAAATTTATTGTCTGGAAATGAAAATATCAATCTCTCATACCCAATTTGTCCGTTGTGCTTTGGTACAACCTCAATCAAAATTGAGTTAATCAGGAGTGACCTCATAGGGTCACTAACTCTAAAATTAATTCTGGTTTTAATGATATATGCCTCTAATTTATACCTAAAAAGTGTGGACCACCTGTGTTGTTGACTGGTTGTGATCATCTTGAGACCTAAGGGATTTGTATCAAGAAAAAATCCAGACATACAGGATACATGTTTCTTTAAAGTGATGCTATAAAAATTATTTTCTCGATTAAATCTGTTATTCATTTTTTATTTTGTAAAGCCATAAAACTCGTGGCTTTGAAATGATTGAATATATGTTTGTGATTTGTTTTCACTAGCCTCTCTCCTTATTCCCTGTCTCCAATGACACCATTCATGTAGCATAACCACAAATCTTTTAAAGCACATTTCGTAGACAGGACTGCATTTGGCAGGGCTATAGCTTGCAGTGATACAATTTTATAGAAAATAGCAGTATTAATTAGATATATGCTGGTGAGCTAGAAGTAAATGTTTATGATTATTGTCTAAAGCCAAACAGGAAAATGTAAAAGCAATAATAAATATGTTCTCTCTCATTCCAATATACCAGCTTAGGCAAATTTTTGGCTGGAGAAGCATAAGTGAGTAATTAGATAATTGCTGCCTTGATTGAGCTTAATAGGAAACATTTCAATTAGGCTAAAACTACACAGAAAGGAAGTGGGTTTTTTACAAAGGGAAACATTCCTTGTCATGCAACTGTCAGCTTGTGCCCACACTAAGAGATGGGATTAAGTGGATCTCTGCAAAGGAAACAAAAAAGAAATGATTGCAGTAATTAGACCTATACTTAAACATTGTGTCTTCTGATAGAATTTCTTGATGATTCTAGGCTCGATAACGCAGCCCCTATAAATTTCTTGCCTGTAACAAATTACTGTCTTAAATCTATGGCAAAACAAGTTCCTGGAAAAAAAAAGTTATGATTTTCTCATACTACAAAAACTAACATTCTAGAATTGCAGGCCTCTTCATGAAGCCACCTGCATACTAGCAAATAATCAGAAAAGCCATTTGGGGCTAGTTTGCATGGTTAATAGTCTCTCCCTAGCATACCTTGAGTGTATGTATCCAGTTCCTGACTCAGAGCTGGAACCAGATGTAAAAATGCTCCTTTCAAAGAATAAATGTCCGAAGAACAGTACTATTCTTAATGTCCTGGGAGTTGAGGTAGTGATGTGACCCTTTGATCTGTCAGCATAGGGGTTTTATCCATTGGGAAGGCACATGGTTCCACCCATGGGTGGTTAAATTCATGGGAATGATGTAATATAGATGCCATTTCAGGGCCCCAGCAGGTTGCAAATTGCCTAGCCCAAGGCCTCACACATCTAGACACTTAGTAAATTGATGTTTTAATATTGCTTTATTTTGTTTAAGATTTTTAATTTATTCATGAGAGAGAGAGAGAGAGAGAGAGAGAGAGAGAGAGGCAAAGACACAGGCAGAGGGAGAAGCAGGCTCCATGCAGGGAGCCTGATGTGGGACTCGATCCTGGGACTCCAGGATCACGCCCTGGCTGAAGGCAGGTGCTAAACCGCTGAGCCACCCAGGGATCTCCTTAATATTGCTTTATATGAAAAAGACAATAGCTTGAGCTCTTGCTAGATGAGAAATGGAGAAGCCACTGATAGAATACCAAATTATTATATCACCTCTAGAAATATGATATGTCACCCAAATCTTGTAAGGATCTTGTCAAGACAAACACAAGTCCCATTTAAGGTATGCTACTGCACTGATGCTACTGA